CTGCACCGTGTCAGATTTGCCCAACTTTTCCGTTTTCAAGGAACCTAAATCTTAAGATTTGTGTAATTCCTGCGGTTATGCTCCACACCCAAGCCTCTTCTCAGCGATGGACGTGGGAGTCTCCCAATGGAGAGTACCATAACGAAATAGATCACATCATAGTAAATCGAAGGTTTTGCCTGACCGACGTCGCTGTTGTTCCTAAGTTCTACACGGGATCAGACCATCGCCTCCTTCGCGCAACGTTCCGATTTTCGAGGAGAGGAGAGAAAGCCGCTAAATTCAAACAACGAAGTCCCAGAACTACCATAAACTGGGATGTATTCAAATCATTAGTCGGCTCTTGGGAAGATACCGTTGTCGACAACATCGACGAAGAATACGATCGACTCGTTGAATATCTTCACGTTAGCGCTAAAAAAGCCGAGAGTCCTAAGGTCACGAAGAGACGCTTGTCTCCGCAGACACTCGAGCTGATACGTCAACGTGGAATCGCACGAGCTGCAGGCAACCGAAACCTCACGTCCGAACTTGCGAAACGATGCAGAGAAGCGATAAAAGAAGACCTCAAAGAGAGAAGAGCAGCAGTTATGGCAGAAGCTGCAGAAGCTGGGAAGAGCATTCGCAAAGCCCAGCGAGGCTTCGCCAACTATAAGACCAAGATGATTGCACTCCGATACCCTGACGGGACACTTACAGCTTCGAGAAGGGCTATGGAGAAAATCATCCACCAATACTACTCGGATCTCTTCGCTAGCCATGTTCTCTTACCGTCATATAAATTGAAAGAGGACGAATATGTCGTTCCACCGGTCCTTCCTTCCGAAATCCGACATGCTATATCGTCGGTGAAAAACAGAACAACACCCGGTCCAGACAGGATTAGACCAGAACACCTGAAGAACCTGCCGCCAGTTCTCATCAACACCCTGGCTCGGCTCTTCACTCGCTACCTGTCAGAATGCAAGGTCCCTATTCAATGGAAAACCAGCAAGACCGTATTGTTGTTCAAAAAGGGAGACCTTCACGACATAGGCAATTATCGCCCAATCTGCTTGCTGTCCGTTGTCTATAAACTCTTTACTCGAGTCATCCTGAACAGGATTGACAGAACACTGGACGAAGGACAGCCATGCGAACAAGCAGGGTTCAGAAAAGGATTTAGTACCATGGACCACATCCACACGATCACAAGACTCATTGAAGTTTCGCGAGAGTACAAACAACCACTCTGTCTCACTTTTATCGATCTGAAGAAAGCCTTTGATTCAGTGGAAACAGAAGCGGTTATAGAGGCTCTGGATAACCAGGGCGTCCCTACTCGGTACATAATGATCCTTCGTGAGCTTTATAAAGATTTCACGACCAGAATATCTCCATTCTACAACAATATCACCATTGACGTAAGAAGAGGGGTTCGACAAGGCGATACAATTTCGCCAAAACTATTCACTGCCACCCTACAAAACGTCATGCGAACATTAGAATGGGACGAAATGGGAGTGAAAATTGACGGTCGACAATTAAACCATCTTCGCTTTGCTGACGATATCGTTCTCATAACACCAAACATCAGCCAAGCGGAACGAATGTTGACTGATTTCGATAACGCCTGTGGAAAGATCGGTCTTCAACTGAATCTAACGAAAACAATGTTCATGAGGAACGGATGGGTTTCTAATGCCCCATTCACGCTCAACGGAACGACAATCTCCGAATGCTCCAGTTACATCTATCTAGGTCGTGAAATCAACATGATGAACGACCTAGCCCCAGAGTTGAGCAGGAGGAAACGAGCGGCTTGGGGAACGTTTAAGAGCATCGAAGATGTAGTGAAGAGGACAAAGAACATCCGACTCCGTGCCCACCTTTTCGACTCGACAATTATCCCTGCCCTAACGTATGCAGCAGAAACCTGGTCGCTACGTAAGCAGGATGAAAGATCACTTGCAGTTATCGAACGCGCAGTCGAAAGGTCGATGCTAGGAGTATCCGTATTTCGCAAATGAGACAAAGGATCCGAAGTTCCGACCTACGTCAACGATCGAAAATCAGAGACGCCGTTCTACACGCCAGGATATCGAAAATAAGGTGGGCCGGACACGTGATGCGCTTCAACGACAACCGATGGACGAGAGCCGTTACCGACTGGATTCCTCGGGACGTCAAGCGCTCTAAAGGAAGACCACTGACCCGTTGGTCCGATTTCTTCACGAAAGCGATGGAAGAAAGATATGATGCTCAGCGAATTCCTAGAGCGAGGAGGACCCACTGGGCTACTCTTGCACGCGATAGGGAAAAATGGAAGAGTTGCTGGTACCCGCTCGAGTCACTCGACGATCAACGGGACGATAGGTGACAGGTGATACAGGTGATGCTCCACATCGTATTTTGCTATTAGAAATATACTTGAGCAGTGTAAAAAAGGCTATTACGAATTCAGGTTCAGTTAAGCTTGACTGAAGCAGCACAGTATGTTTCTGTAGGTCAATACCGCTAACAGGTGATTACTGGCAGCTTTCAAATAGGTTTAACTCTCTATCTTAGCAAATCCCTAAACTGAATGAAATGCAGTTGTTATCACCGGATCCCGTCCCTTGGTGTTCCAGTTTCATTAGATATAAGAAACCGTCTGTACTTGGAATTGCCTACCACTAATGAAATATGACTGCATAAAATCAGAAGAGCATATGTGCGAATATGTAGAACTGGAACCACGCACTGTATTGTACACACCATAAACAACATGCACACTTTTTTCTCAGAAAAAAAATTTTTCCAGTTGCGAAAAAGCCAATAGCTACGCAGAGATATTCTACCAGTTACCACAGCTCAATCTGAAACATTTATGGATCAGATGTTAAGCCCAGTGAGTTGAGTATATTTATGATATAGACGTACTCGCGAACAAATTGAATAGTTCGGTTGAAGGGCTTCTATAGTCTACTTGAAAGCGGAAATATTATTGTTCTATTCATCATCAACAAACAACCACCACTCTTTGCCCCAAAAGGCACTGTATGCTCATAAAGAGCAGATCATAACGATATAGCTTCATATACTTTCATATAAAAGATCAAAAATGGCTTCACACTCAACGTATAAAGTTAATTGTTGTTAACGACACACAATTTTTGATGAGAAGAGTTGAATTCAATGGTATCTATTCAAGTTATGAAGTGATCAATAAGACTACACAGAACAAAAGTGATTGGCGGAAGTTAACATATCAACAAATTTGGAAGGTTATCATTGTAGAATGATACAAGTAAATATAAGGGAGTTGTGTGAACTGGAAATGTGGTCGACTCAAAGAATCGATCTCGACGAATCGGTGACTCGTTCACTATCCAAGCACTCTAAGAGTCTTATCAGCGCTGATAACGTCGACAGGTGAATGAAACATCATGTGGTGTCATCAACCATTGTCCCTCACAGACTTTGACGTTGCGGATCACTGTTTACTTTTCTTTTCTCCACTTTAGGAGGTCGCAGGAGTCTTGCTTTTACAAGACCCATTATCACAATTCCACTGCGCAGGTTTCAAAACTGACCGGACTCGAGTCGTTTCCTTGCACTCATCCTCCCCAGAGGTCTGCGAACATAACCTTTCTTTCGTTTGTCGCTCTTTGTATGGGGAGTGCAATACTGATGAGATGGAGAACCATCGAAACGTTTATATCGCTAAGATGCAATAGTAGACCTTGTAAAAGGCCAAATAAAAGTCTGCAGGGTCTGTGAACAATCCACGTTTTTGCTTCTGCTGCTGTTTGAGGACTTGTCGTCACGAATGTCAGAAACGAACGCAGTTCTATCAGCGCATATTGATCAAAGAAAGGATCCGAATTACATAAGACTCTATCAGATTGTTATTGGAACTGCACCACAAAGATACAGCTCATTCTTCGACCTTTTTACCTGTGCCTTTTACCATACCTACTAAAAAATGGGTTGCGACAGGGCGATACGATATCGCCAAAAGCTGTTCATCGACGCACTCCAATGGATTACGAGGTCGCTTTGCTGGGACGAGATGGGCATACGCATCGATAGAAAATATCTGTCAGACCTTCGTTTAGCGTATGATATCGTCCTTTTCCTCAAAAAGAACTAGCGAGGCAGAGACGATGCCTAAGGAACTCAGCGAAGCGTAAAAGAAGTTCGGAGTACGCATAAATCGCATGAAAACCCAGTTCATGAAAAACCGATTGCGCATCGATGAACATATTAAGTTGGATGGTCCTTCAACCACGGGACCTCCTCGTGGCATGTACTTTAGTCGTTCATTAAAATGGAAAATAACATTAAAGAGGAAATTGGCAAAAGAAGGAAAGCAGCGTGGGCCGCATTCGGGACTCCCAAAAAAGGCCACTGACCATATAACGGCCTTAAATTACGCGCTAACCTTTTTAATTAACAGTCCATCCAGCACTTTGTTATGCAGCGAAGACATAGTTTTCGACCACGTCAAGACTACTGCGAATGACTCACCAGAGCGCTTGAACAATGTCTTCTGAAAATCAGCCGGCACTCATAACACGTAGCCGGCCTGCGCAGCTCAGATTCTTGAAAATTCATCTTATCTTCGTGATTCAGAGATTTCATATCGATAGCGAAGCAGAGATAGTCCGGTCAGATAGTGAGGAAATCAGGCGACGGATGGATGAAACGATTTGTAGACTGAACGCCACGAAAATACACCCGTTCCCGAGAAGACCACTTACACGTTGGATGGACGTGTTCGCCAGAAGAATCAATCAGCTGTATTCACATCTGCACTCGCATCAGCTGTATTCGTACCTGCCGATAACTATAGATCACGGTATGTTACTCGCGCCAGTGGCCATACTCGAATCAAACCACTCAAAAACTCGAATCAACGCCATGGACGATAGTCACGAAGAGAAGAGACGAATGGAAAATGTGCTGGGTGTTCGCACGACTCGTGAAAACGGACCGTCCAATTATCTGAGCGTAAATAAGTGTACTGTGCAAAACGAGCGTCGGTGGTGCAACAGTTAGCATACGCTCTTGGAAAGAGTGAGATTTGGGTTCAAACCTCGGCTGACGCAAACGTTTTTGCACAGCACTCCACATTATTCATAATAGCTGACGTTTCCGAGAATTTCGCCTCTTCGCACTTTGAAAAGACCGAGCTGATTGTAAACTACTCAGTCGATTTTGCCTCCATAATCAACAAAAGAACTACAAAGTCTGGGTTTCAAATGCATTTTCTAACGACTAAATTTTTTCGCAGGTTAACAGCCCAATGAATAACTTCGTAACTACGATTTCTGCACAAAACTGACGAAGTCCCACATGACAATGCTATGGCTCTCGCAACTTCCGTTGCAGCTCTTTTCTTCCAAACTCTTTTCATACTACATATTTGTTTGTCGAGCTCTAAGATTGATACACTTCCAGTCACTTGTTAAGCTGACCAACTGACTGGGGAAAAGTTTGAAAGGCTCAACAAAAATGAAGAACAAAAAATTGAGGGAAACGCGACATTTCGTATCATTAAGTGGTTCCCGAAACAAATTCGCTCTATTTTCTACCAAGATTTGGCACTCCTTCTACAACTTGCTTTCAATTACTAAGTTTATTTGAATAAATGTTAGATTGATTATTATACCAAATGTTTCATTACTTTCTCCCTCAATTTGGATGAAACGCAGGTCTTAAATTTATATTAAAAAGATTTAATGTCATCAATCCTAAGGAAGTACAAACAATGCATGTTTTGAAAAATTTCTTGTCTCGGAAACCCTCAATGAACGTGCGAACACGTCGAAACATTTTAAAGGCTTCCACAATTCATTAGCATACGACCTATGCTGTATAATAAGGAGCTCGTCGAATGAAGTTCTTCACACGAGCGATGCTCCACAGAACAAGGTCCGACTCGAACGAGACGAAGACGAGGATCACGTGGACGGACGGCTGAAGTAGAACTGACCCGAATCAACGGCACTGAAGAAGACGAAATGGTCCAAAACTTAAGCGTAGGATATTTCTCATTTTTTAAAACTTGTGATTCAGGCTCGAACAATAAATAACATATGAATTGCTATCAATAGTTAATAGCGCAAACAAATGTCTATTCGAAGGTCTAGAAATACTGCCGTAAACTACTTCATTGAAACAACGAATAAATTGCAAAGCACTTATTTATTCGAATCGTCAAACAATACTATTGGCAATAGCTACAGTTGGCCGAAAGACCTCCTCTTCGAAGTGCACCATCCAGATAAAACAAATGCGCATATTTACGATGTGTGAAGTCAGATGATCTCATTCTCAGTGGTCAGCATCGTCCGACAACGAACCCGATCGCTGTGATGTTAACTTTGGATCTGGTAAGAATATTCGGTGAGCTTTCAGAATTGATATCTACCGATAAAATCGAAATATTACGTTTCTCGCGAGTTTCTTCTTCGCTTTCGATGAGATCCACCACGATGGTCGGGGACAGCCATTGGCTTTTCCACGACTGTTGCCACTGATTTGGATGGACGCTGAGTGGATGAACAGTGAGTAATCATAGATGTCCGCTGGAAAAAATGAACTGGAAAAAAGGAACAAGCGTTTTACTTTCTTAGAATCAACGTAAACTAAGCGAAAAAGGAAGATCTAGTAGTAAAATTGTCGAAATTCCCAATATCCAGACCAAATTTTTCATCACTCTCCTAAAACAAACTCGTTTTAGTCAACGATGCAGAAAGAAGGGTTGCATTGTTCGATTTTTTAAACAATTATTTGAGCTTAAACTCGAAGTGGGGTCTATTTCACTATAATTAGCTTCCTATGGCACTCTTGAGTGTCAAGCAAAGTTTATAGCCAAATTTTTCCTTTGAAATTTGCATATGAGACTTAAAATCATATTTCTTGCACTAACGGATGGACACTGTATACCATGCAAAAGATGATTTGCTTCTCAAACTATTTACTATAGCAGTTTTACTCTGTACATGTTCTTTATTAATTCACAAAATTTGAAATGATTTGAAACGCTTGCTGCGATTGTGCTCTCAGGCAACAAAATCGTATCGCATGATTCAGCTGAAGCATAACTCAGAGAAAGCGTTTTTGAACGTAGACTGGAAATAATCCTGAAAGTCAGAAAAATGTGGGCCGTAAAGTATACATCAAGCCAAGAAACAAATGGTGAATATTTGATTATGAATATGACAGTCAAAGCTAAGGTGATTCATCAAACTACTTGAGAGGCTCCGGAGGACTTAAGATTAGTTGCTCAAAAATAGGCAGTTATCTGAAAGACAGTCAAAGGGCGAGAAAGCTCGAACGCCTGCATTCTGCGTATCATTCAAACCACACCATTTAACGACATCTCAACAACATCTTTTTGAAGGATAGTGTGCTATTCGTAAAAGCTCTATTCGGTAAAAGACACACGTGTCCAGGACAATTTTGTGAGCAGTTACCATTTGGAAACGTCCGACAATTCCCTCACATATTCAAACACTCGGTAAATCCACCTACTATTCCATCTAGCACGAAAACTGAGTGGTGCTCCAAATTTAATGGATATTCCATTTGGCACCATAACCAACACTGACACACAAGCAACTGAGATTAAGCACAGACTGAAATCAAGTCACAGCTGAATGCTTCTTCCTCTGACATATGCTTCATACGAATAAAAATATACTACCGCAGGTGCGTGGACAATTTAAGATCTGGCGGAGTTCAGATGCTGCTTTCTCGTTTGCCTTCTTAGGTTCCTCAGGCAGAAGATCCTCTAGTGATTCGGACTCCGATGATTCCGAGAGTGTTCTTTTCAGACGAATTCTTTGCTAGGAGCGCTGAAGATGGGTGTTCAATCGGCTCAAGTGTCGTCCATCTCATCTTGTCTGAAAATTAAAGATTTTCCTATTTTTTTGTTTCATTTTGAGCCACACATGTCAGTGGTCTATCAATGTGGGCTGCTGACTTATAGAGTGCGATTACACCTGTTTCGATCTTGTGATCTCGTCAGTCAAAGCAGTTTACCCTTTCGCTGCTAACTTTAGTGTGTGGGACTGGAGCTCCCACAGAGATTAGCAAAAGATTTTCCTACTTTATTGAGCCTATTATCTGAAAAAAGGTTATTTAGATAAATAACATGCCTTTGTATTAAGAATTTTCTATGCGCGTAAAAAAAAAGGAATAAAAGAGATGGCTCTATCAGCATCAGTTTAATGAATTCATCACATTTACAATACTAGCGATTTGGTGGAAGCAAGAGAAACTGGAACATAACGTATTGAACGAAAAAATATGCCTCACATGACGAGCTTCTATTGTCTTCAATAGATGATCAAGGTTTTTGGCATCCGTCCTAACGACATTTTCAACAATGTAGTTAACCTAAATATCTTCAGTTGTAAAAATTCCGTCATGTGCGACGTAAGAATCATGTATGCCGAACGACAAAGCAGAGTCTAGCTTCATCAGTAGATTTGAACTTCTAGAATTTATTAAAAAATCTCAGTGGCTTAGGGCTTTGCGATCTAGCTGCTTCACGTTGCAATCCGTTTTTCGTCAAATTAATTGTCAAGATGTTATAAAGGAATAAAACAAAACTCTCAAACGTTCGGACATGGTAATGAGAGTTTCTTGGTATAGCTCTCGTACGAAAAGTGTTTCACAACAATTGTTAATAAATTTAAAATCACTGGAAGACTCTTTTCAGTGGTAGTACATCACCCAATGCCTATTTTCAATAGGATGCGAGATGTATACCTATTTAATATCTGATCTGAACGCTCAGGCTGCGTGATGATTCGCTCATCATTTGAGCTCTGCTTAGTATAGTCCTTTTCCTTTTCCATATCTTCTATGCACTCCTCTTCGAATGAATGAATCTTTCGTCCAATTTGCTCTTCGGTCAAAAAGAAGCTCTGAAATCATCAGAAACTACTGAAAAATGTTGAAGAACTCTAGAGACTGTGTTGTGGTGATTATGACATGGGCTACAATAACACTGTCCAGATCGTGACAACGTATTTAAGCCTTTCATGAGGTCACTTATCGCCATTACATAATGCTAGACGTACGTTTTGATGATTGAATCGAAAGGAGCCGGTGCTAACTGATTTAGGCTGAAGGGCCAAAACGTACGTCTATCACTATCTAAGTGCTTAACAGACCCCATGAAAAGCTCAGAATATGTTGTCGAGGTGTATTAAAATTTTAGGCGAGGTTTAGAAAACAGTTGACTAAGAGGTACTATCTAAATCGAATTTTTTCCAAAAATGCAAGGGAAATTTTTTCTAAGCCAGAACAATACCATTTTGACCCCCACTGACAATTGAGAATTCAGGACTTAATTGTCTTTCAAGAAACAATGCTATTGGTTCTCATTTTTTTTTCTTACAAGCAAATGTTTACTTTATATTGATGGAACTCAAATGTTTTTTGACGGTAAAATAACTTCAAAAATTAATCACTCAATGAAGCATCAAGAAGATTTTTTCTTGAGAATTTTCGCACTCGAATCCAGCGAAATAGCCAGAAAATATGATAGAATATCGTGAATGGAGGTGGAATGAATGGCGTACTGTCGTATTCCATCACCTAAAACATGTCTACTTTCAAAATAATGCACAATAATCTATGTTGTCATGAAATTCCATAGTAATCTGACTAGTGATGATCGCCAGCAAATATTTATTAAATTAGCTATATATTAACCACTATATGCAAAAAGAGTAGATGAATTATGAAGATTTTGAACAGCATTTCAACATTGGAATCTACCCCTCATCTTTAAATTTACAAGAAAAAAGGATTTTCACTTAATCAGCCAATTTCTTTCGTTGAACTCTCATAGAAAACGAGTTTCGCAATGAAGCTGCTTTCCGACAACAGACGATAGTTCTTCCATTTCCAAAGCAGAGAATGAAATTATCATTATAAAGTGGGAGTAATCTGACGTTCTAAAGCTATACACAGCTTTTAAAGGATTTTTTCAGTTTCGAATTTATGAAAATAAGTCTCTAGGAAAGAGAAGATGAAGTTTAAATTCTCAAAGTTCCCCAAGTGAATACGAGGATTTCAAACACTAACG